AAGATCTAGTATTGCAAACAATAATTGAAAATGGCAGATCCAGTGGTTATGGCCTAGACAACCACCAGACCCATTTGAGCTCAACACAACATCCTTACAGACTTTGAGTTTTAAGACTTAGCTAAATTTGTCTGAAGCTCTTGCTTGATATAGAAAAACCTCTCTTTCTCATTATCCAAGTGTTGTGGTCGTGTGTTAGGACAGATGTACTCTCTTCATATTGGAAGAGATGTTTATTCTCGTTACAGGAAATTCAACAATTTGTCTCTGGAGAGATACAGATCATTTAGATTGGATGTACAGGCATTTCTCCTACTATTGCGTACTCATTTAATGTTATCAGTGGACATGTACAGTGAACACTCACCAATAAAATGCTATGATGTGCAAGGTTAAATTTTTCAATGCAGCTTTGACACAAGGCATTCTGAAGATATTGCCAGGGTGCAAGTCAATAATCAGTTGCTGGAAGTTCTGACATATTTTTGTATCTGTGGGGACCTCTAATGCATTAAAAAGTTGAAGTATCTAAGGAAATTTGGTGATTTTGATTTTACAATTTGAATCAGTATTTCATAGGCCATGGTATAATTAATAAAACTTTTTTTTTTTCTGCTCAAAACATCATGTTAATGGGATGGTTAAAATGATGATTTGAATTTATAGAGCACTTCTTGCAGGAAAAGGAATAAAGCAATATTGCATGTTCACAGATTATTGGTAAGATTTTTACTAAATTGTCATTTTCCTCCCCATCCACAATTAATTCCTAGCCACATCACTTTTTCTTAAAATGTGTTTAGCAAAAATATTTCTTTTAAACTATGACAAATCTCAAAACCGGGGAAACAATACTCTCTCTCTCTCCCTCCCTCTCTCTCTCCCTCCCTCTCTCTCTCTCTCTCTCTCTCTCTCTCTCTCTCTCTCTCTCTCTCTCTCTCTCTCTCTCTCTCTCTCTCTCTCTCTCTCTCTCTCTCTCACACACACACACACACACACACACACACACACACACACACACACACACACACACACACCTGCTCATTACAAAATTGTATTTGGGAAGTATTGTAATCAATAAAATGTATAATTAATGCCTCTTAGTTATCCACATTTTGCTGACAAGTGTTTTTGTTCTTTGACAGATGAGCAGTCTCAGAGTGCATGACATTCTTCTGTACTTTATTGAAGATAATATCACTAGGCAGTTTTGTACAACAGCTGTTAATTAGGCTTGCTGTTAACTTCTCATGAAGGTTGTTGTGATAGGGGAACATTGCAGTTCATCTCATCAAATATGAATCGGACTAGAATTTCACGACTTCATTATTCCTGCCACAGAAACACAACAGATCTGATTAGTGTGTGACTAAGAAAGATGGATCCATGTTTTTCAATTCTGCAAGTAACTGTGGCCTATGATGTTTTTTTTAAGTAAGATATTGTCATACATGGCACTTTGTTAGTAACTTGTGAAATATTATTTAAAACTTTCTCTTGACTTCTACATGTCAGCAATGGTAACTCTGGCTGCCCAGTTCATCCTGTTTGGAAAGATCCAGGACTGTATTTAACATTATTGTTGGTTTTAATGTAAAATCTTTTTATTGACTGCTTGCCAACCATTTCATTTGATAACATTGATTTGTTTTTTTAACACTTGCCAGTGCATGGATTATGCTTTTAGATGTACTGATACAAATGATAGGAAAAAGTGTAAGCAAGAAAAAGCTGTTTGTCCATGTTAGCCTTACTGGGCATAAACTGGAAGAGCTTGTGGTATATCCTGTCGTCCAACATCCATATGTTTGTTAGCATAAGTTTATTATTGTTACTCTTCCTAAACTACCAGAAGGATTGCCATGGATCCTCACACACATTCAAATTGAGGTTCTGAATGAAAATGACATTGCTCAAATATCCATTATGGTTGCCAAACTGAAAACTTTTGTTATTTCTGGTCCTCTCTAATAGGTCATCATATCAACAAGGGATTTTTACAGAAAGAATTCTTATGATTGGCACATCCAAAATAGACCACCATAGCTACCATCTTGTAGCAACTCCTTCTAAATCAAAATTCATAATGACCAGGGTTTTCGCAAGAAAGCTTAGGTTGTAAATAAAAATGATGTCACTTGGACATCCAGTATAGCTGCTATATCAGCGATCTTGAAAACTTCATTACTACAACTAATATGATAACCTGTTAGATGTGAAGGAAAATGGCACTGATTTGATCTCAAATATAAATGCATGAAAATCCTTTCGTCACTGCTTCATATCAACACATGGTTTTCACCAGAAGACTTATAATGGTGTCTAGTGAGTTCAGAATGAAAATAATGAAATAAAGTATGTAATCCATGCATGCCATCTTGAGAATCTTGTTTATAATATGATAGAAATGATTATATACATGTTAATGTTTGCACCGAAAGAATTCTCATTATTTTCTGGTTCATATTAATTGTGCTCCACAGATATCCAGTATAGCTGCCACAATGAACATATTGAAAGTTTTATAAGTTTCCTAAATGGATGTTCCTATTTTCATGGCATTTTCACTAAAAGACTTCCACTAGTGTCTAATTTTGTCTGAAATGAAAATTTTGTCAATTTTGCATTTGTTATGGCTACCCATATTGGCTTGTTGCTTCAGAATATCACAGTTTCAACACTGGCAGATAAAAGAAAAAAGTCTTGAATTCTTGAAAATTCTATTAAAGTAGCATTCCATTAAAATATTAGTCCATCAGGCTGTTTGATGGACTCTTCTTTAAACCAGTATGAGAAAAATTTTAGAAAACCATGCTATGTGCATTGATTACATACGTACATCATACATACTCTAAGTGCTCTTTTTATAGTGGGCATATGTGACAATTTCTTTGAAAACAGATTGATTTTTTCAGTTTCAAAACCTATCAGATTGTAAATAATAGTATTAGTTGTTGGGCAAAGGCAGACTTAATTGATGAATGTTAAATAACTGAAAAATGAGTTGAATTATTTTGAATTTGAAAACATGGATTAGAGGAGAGTAAAATTAAAGCTTCTCTACATTTATCAGGTATATCAGCTTAGGTCATAATTTCAAGGTCACAGATTAAAGTCTTGAAACTTATTTGTGTAGGCATGGGACATAAATTTAAAGAATGTTTGGCTATAGATCGGTCTTCAGATATGAAAACCAATTGCATGTTTAGGCAGAACTTAGCATTATGTTTATGATAATGCAGCCCTTTTTAATTGATTTTTAGTGCATATCCAATTTGTTGTCGATGAGAGGGACTTTCACGATGCCATGCTCATTTCATCTACAAGAAGTCTTTAACAATTGATATGTAAATTTATAGAGTAGTATTGTTTTTAAAGGGAGCCTCAATTAAGAAGAATGAGCTTTTTTTCCTTTTAAATTGTTAGTCATGCACATAGATGCCAGTAATACTTATTTTCAATATTATGGATCATATTGCTGTTGGAACTGATTAATTTCATGTGTAGTAACAATAAATATTGCATTGGGGTATGTTTCTAATTATTACAATATCTGTGAAAGAAAATATAAAACTTATATTTTAAACCAGTAATAAACTTTCTTTACTTCCAATGTTAATTTGCATATCTTCTATGGTCTTAAGAACTGACGAGTGGTTTTTATTTTTATAATTGTGCAAATAGAACAGTTTCTGGTGATTGTGAAGTGTATGTACAATTTAATTTCCATTTCACGATCCATGTTTAAGTACTTATTATGGTGATATGAAAAATAGTATTGTCCATGTTTCTTTTCAAATCTTGTCAGTACTGATATGTGGTGTTGCATTTGTCTGTATGACAGGTCAACTCTGCTTTTACTTCAGATTTCAAATAAAGTTGTCATGTCAGATTGAATTGGCACCATTACTTTGTACTGTCAAAATCAATCATTACTTGTTTTCAGCAGGCGACACAGTCTTCAGTGCAGTTGAAAAATGATAGTGTTTCATTTTAAAGTTTCAGTTTGCTGGCATGCTGTCAGACTCTTGGGTTATTCATATCATGGGAAAAAGTATCGTTAGATGATGTTGGGGACTGGCTAGACATTGTTACAACCCCTATTATGTAATAAATGATTCAATGCATGATTTTATTGAAAGTCTTGGATTTAAGAATATGCCAGATTTGGATTGGAAGTGTATGCAATGATGACCACATTGATTATTTGAAAACTCTTTCTTTTGTCTTAAGTTTTAGTATGTGAAATTATTAAAAAATTGACAAAACAAAAACTTGTTGTTTCATTCTCAGATACAACAGATATGTTGAAATAACTATCCATCTGGATTTCTATAACCATCACAAAAACACAATGTGTGTGTGTGTGTGTGTGTGTGTGTGATGGCAACAAAATTTTGATCAAAAGTTTCAGTAATAGTTTTTTTAATTGATTGGAAATGGTTATCATGCTTTGGAGAATCCTTGAATCTAACAGTTAATTTGAAACCCTTAATTTTGTTGGGTATCTGTGTTGCATGAGTACATCTCTAGATATTTTGAACATTGCAGATAGCAGATATATTTTCACCTAAATAATTTCAGATTTATTTTTTAAACGAGTTCTTATTCATTGATTAATGAAATATTGATTTTTCTAAATGTTTTGGAAAAAGTTGAATTTTGGAATTGTTTTATTTGAGTGGGGGCATTTTTGCAATTTAGAACAACTTCAGATTTTATTTTCATAGTTGATTTTTGAATAACTTAAGTTGATCTGTGGTAATTTTCAAAATTCTGAACACTGTCAAGTTTCATTTTCAGCGTATTCCGATTCAAAATGTTTCTATATACTTTGTTGATGTTGTAAGTGCTAAAATTTGCCATAGGTCCAAAGTCAAGGTCACAGGGTGAAGATACAACTATGATGTGCAGTGTTCAGTTTTTTATCCTTATGCACCATATTTGAATCTGTTGCTGTTGAAATGCATTCTCTTAATGATACATTAAACAATGTATTGTTGCCCTGACAGGTATTAAACCTGTGTCCCTTTGATTATGAGTCTGAAGCTTTACTTGCTGGGCTACAGCAAGTCCCTGCCATTTAATGCTGAAAAATGGAGAGCATCATAACAGAAATAAACCTTGCCAGAATGCATTGAATATGTTACATACATATCCTTAAACAATTAAAACAGTCTTCTTGTTTAATTCCAGAATTTCTGAATTTCAAACAAAAAAAATATATTTGCTTTGTCTCTATGCTTACCTTTTTTGTAAATAATATTTAACTCAATTCACAAAGCACCCGTGCAAGGAAAGACACGTTTTGAACTTAGCATACTGGAAAATATTTACTGTTGATACAAAATTTATACAGTAAAATATCACGTTTAAAATTTTCTTGACAGTTGTTTACTCTTGAAGTCATGTAAGTGCTTTTACTCAGAATATAATGAGTATTACTTTTTGTACCATTTAATACTCAGATATCTTAACCAAAATAAGTTAAACTCTGATCATCGAATGATCTGCACCTTAAATGTCATGAAAAAAACATTCAAATGAAGATTTTTCATTGCTATGGACTCTTACAGGTACTAAATTAGGTCAAGAAAAGGTGACATCGGGCCTATCATAATGAATATTTACTAAAATTCATAGACAGATGCACTAAACAGAAAGAAACCTACAAAGATTCAAAGACAAATGAAATGACTGTTGAAATGAAAACGACATTATATCAACATTAATATTATTTAAATTGTGGACTGAGTACATATAATGGACCGAGTACATTAAGGGCTTATTTAGGTAGGCCTAGTTCGTTATGGGCCGAGAACGTTATTGGGCTGACTGATATGTGCCAGGTTGTCCCATACTCGGTATATAGGATCACATCATATCCTCGAACATGTTGTAGCTAGATATCACCATGCTGCAAAACTACTCAACACCCAGTTCATTGCATTCCTGCTATTTTTACATCCAGTTTAATTATAATTTTGTCTTTCGATCCACATGAGAGTCACCAGTGCCATTTCAAGAAATTTTCCAATCTTCAAAATGCTGAAGTTGTGATCTAGTACTAATATTGGTACATATCTCAAGGCTACAACATCGTAGCTAGTCTTGCACTAGTAAATCGGTTACAAGTTACATTACCATGGTTTGTGATAAGATAAAATCCTTTTCATTTCTAATCTGCTGGAGACAGTAGAGTTAACAGCCCTTCAGTGTAAGACATCCATCCTGAAATTTATTTAACTAGAAGTGCTCCATAATAATTTTTGGCACACTGTTGTAGTTAAAAAATTATGACACTTAAAATTATAGGTTTAAAAAAATTTAATTAAAATATTTTGTAACGACTGCAGAAAAGTAAGCAGAAAAGAGATGAATCATCAAGTAATAAAAATTGTAATATAAATATCCATTTAAATTACAGATAATTATTACAGAAATCCAAATTGAAAACTATTGAGGAATCACACTATTACAGGCACAACTTTAAGGCTGCAATGTGAAAATTCAAAATATTTGCAAATCTTTTTCTGCATAATGTTTGAACAGTGGTACCATTAGTAGCAATGCACAAGTATGCCAGCCAGTAAATTGTGCACCTGATTTTGTGTCTTATTTTATAAAACTGTACATCTTAACTGTCTTCTTTCCATTAATTTTGTGTGATTGTTTGTCTTAACTTTTCTTTTTCTTTGCTTTTTCTTTTAAAGATTGTTATTAATACCATGTATTCTTTTTCAGATCATTGACTTGAGCTATCATTAGTTAGACTGGCTATCATTAACTTGAGCTATCATTAGACTGGCTATCATTGACTTGAGCTATCATTAGACTGGCAATCATTGACTTGAGCTATCATTAGTTAGACTGGCTATCATTGATTTGAACTATCATTAGTTAGACTGGCTATCATTGACATGAGCTATCATTAGTTAGACTGGCTATCATTGACTTGAGCTATCATTAGTTAGACTGGCTATCATTGATTTGAACTATCATTAGTTAGACTGGCTATCATTGACATGAGCTATCATTAGTTAGACTGGCTATCATTGACTTGAGCTATCATTAGTTAGACTGGCTATTATTGACTTGAGCTATCATTAGTTAAACTGGCTATTATTGACTTGAGCTATCATTAGTTAGACTGGCTATCATTGATTTGAGCTATCATTAGTTAGACTGGCTATTATTGACTTGAGCTATCATTGGTTAGACTGGCTATCATTGACTTGATCTATCATTAGTTAGACTGGCTATCATTGACTTGAGCTATCATTAGTTAGACTGGCTATCATTGATTTGAACTATCATTAGTTAGACTGGCTATCATTGACATGAGCTATCATTAGTTAGACTGGCTATCATTGACTTAGACTGGCTATCATTGACTTGAGCTATCATTAGACTGGCTATCATTGACTTGAGCTATCATTAGTTAGACTGGCTATCATTGACTTGAGCTATCATTAGACTGGCTATTATTGACTTGAGCTATCATTAGGTAGACTGGCTATCATTGATTTGAGCTATCATTGGTTAGACTGGCTATCATTGACTTGATCTATCATTAGTTAGACTGGCTGTCATTGACTTGAGCTATCATTAGTTAGACTGGCTATCATTGACTTGAGCTATCATTAGTTAGACTGGCTATCATTGATTTGAACTATCATTAGTTAGACTGGCTATCCAGCCATTTAGGTCATGATGTAAAAACTTTCACAGACATAAGAATGCTACTCTGGAACTTGTAAAAGTCAACAGGCTTCTTTTGACAGCAAAGGCTGGTAAATTGAATGCTTACTCTAGAAAATAAATTGAGGATATCGATGTAGAAGATATAGTCAAATATGCATAATTCAAACCTATATTTATAGGAGTTAAGTGTGTAATATACTGGACCAAAGAGAACACTTGCAATAATTAGAGTACTGACGGCCATTGGTCATTAGTGATGAACTGTAATGTCTTGCCTGTTTCGTTTTCATCATCATAAAACCAATTCTCAAGATGAGCTTTTAAAATCTTTTATATTTTACATGCAGAGTGCTGAAATCATTTTCAGAGAGAACATATCAGTATAATTTATCTAAACAATCTAATCCGAGTATTCCTAAGAGAAACAAAAATTCAGGCATTAAATCCCAAGGCTGAAGCAAAGATAAACTAAACTAGTTTTTTAAATATAAAGCATAGAAATATTAATTCTGAATAAAATCAACTGATATTCATAATACTATTAATATATTATCAAAATAGAAAACGAATATGTTAGGGCCTTTATTCAAAGCATTTTTCACATTATCCTTTATAGTAGCATTCATAAAAGTCTATTTATGCTTCTTTGCCTTATAAGTTTTTGAAGCAATTTGATAACCCGAATCATGACATTTGACCTTGAAACTAGTGACAGAATTCGTACAATTAAACCAACCTGAGATCATGTTTAAATTTACATATAATTTTGGTCCAAAATAAAAGTATGTTCAAGATCTATTTTCACTTAATGAATAAGCTTTTGCTGACTTAACAAAAGTCTGAATTTTACTTTAGTTTTAAGCAAAGATCAAAGAAAGCATAAATGAACAGACCTATTTAAGAAATCAATTAGATATACTAAGACACTAAAATCTGATTAAAACCAAAGCCGGCATTTCAACTTACAATGATATCAAGCTACTTTTTAATTTAAAATAAACCTCCAAAACCAAAACAAAAACAAAGTCATTATCAGTGACCTTACAACCAAAGTCACAACCAAAGATGATAAACACGTCATAAATATGTATTACTGAACTCCTGGAAAATAAAATTCAGATTTATCACTATATCGAATAGGTAAAGCTCCATTCATATTTAAGTTATTTGCTTAACAAATTTAGAGTACAACTATTCTAATTATTGATTTTGACCTTGACCGATAGATTATGAATTTAGTTACTGAACATACTCAAGATGTTTCCAGATAAACTGAAATTTGTAATCAGTTTCTATTGATTTTACTGTAGTCACAAAACTATCATTTTCGCTACAATTTTATAGGTATTTTTGTCACTCTGTAAGACTTTTTCTTTAAGATTATTGTTGTTTTTTTAAACATCAAGCTTGCATCGAGTACCTGTGGGGAAACCTAGCTGGTTTGCCAACCCTACTATTCTTATTATCTCAGTCTGGTTGTCTCAGTTAGTTTCTATCAGTCATGATATTCTCTCACTCAGCTTCAACCATTGCATAAAAACTTAACAATTTTAAATATAATCGCACGTGATTCAGATGCATATATCAATAATATTTTGTTTCATTATGCCCGTTAAATAATATTCATATTATTTGAGACTTTATATTTTTTTTAAATATTCGCATTTACTTCTTTTTACATAGTTACTGATAACTACTGGAAACAATCACAATTATCTGAGCAATACAATCTTCCCAATGGACACAATTTCCAAAAGATTAACAGATCTCGCAAAAAGTATACATGCAGTATCAACTAAAGAAGTGATGTTCTATAAAGACATACAGACAAGCAGGCAGGTATACACAGTGTCAAATAGATCATATTATTTTCGAAACTATATTTTTCTTAAAAACTGAATTGGTCTAAAGCATGTGTTGTCCGGTAAACTAAATATGCATCAAGCTGGATTTCAAATGAAATGCCTTCTATACATTACATGTTCATGGCTCTCCTTTGCATTTTGTCATTCACAGGTTACTGGAAATATGAGTTTAAGTTTAATCTTTCAAAACTGCTCCATTGTCTCAATTTATTTTGAAACTTCCCGTTAAAAAAGAAACAATGATGGTTTTTCTATGTCGTACGACTTTATTAAAGAAAAGAAATCTGCACACTTAAAAGAATCCAAAGAAACCAAGCTTGGCTTCCTTTTGTCGTTGGACTTAATAAGAAAAATCGGCACGCTTAAAATATATCAAAGTCATTTTCCGGAGTTGGTTTACTCTGTAATAAAACAAAATAAAATACTTTGAATATTTATTTTGTGGGATGTCCGATGAGCGCGAATATTTTTATTATTTTATGTATAAATATGCTCATATTTG